GCGGGCCCCGCCCCCCACGCTGACCCCCACATGCGCTGGCTTCCCCCGCCCCCACCATGCGCGGACCCCGCCAGGCCGCCAGCTGGTACCTGTAGCTGCCCTTCTTGGTCAGCAGCTCCTTGAACTGGCCCAGGGTGACCCCGCGGCCCTTCACCAGGGTGCGGTAGGGAATCGGCTCCCCGCAGAAGTAGTAGGCCACAACGATGCTATCACACGGCGGGGCGCTCAAGCCGCCTGCCTTCTTCTGTGACTTCGTCCTGGGGCAGAGACAGCGAGGGCTGGGCTCCCTGCAGGCGTCTCGCCCAGAACCCCCCACGAGGCCGCCGGCCCGCCACAGCCCACCACACGGCCGGACATCCCGCTGGGGCCTCCCAAGCTCCCTGCCCCGCCGGCCACACCTCTGCTTGGCGGGCAGTTTGCTAGTTCGCTTCTCCTCCTCCTCCAGACGCCTGCGGGCCTCCTCCAGCTGAGTCAGGGGGTTGGGCGCGGGGTTGGGGGGCATAGTGGGGTCTTGGATGAAGAGGTGGGAGGGCTGGACGGAGTTCCGAAGCTGGGCGCTGACCCAGGGGTGCACAGCGCCAGGGCGTTCGATGGACAGGGGCCTGGTGCTCTCGTGGACCTGCTGCCTCTTGGCCCCGGAAGGCCTGGGGGAGAGGACGGCATGTGAGACGCCAGTCACAGGGGCTACATGGCCCGCAAATGGGTGCCGGTGCCCCGTTGAGAGCTGGTGCAGGGCTGGAGGACCCCACGCAGATTGAAGGTCACCGCAGGGGTGTGAGTTGGGCTCTGGAAGTAGGACCAGCCCATGCTCCCCGACCCATAACCCTGAACCCCTGCAACTGGGGTGTGCCCAGACATGCCTGTTCCTAAACCACCTGTCTCCTCCTTTACCACGTTATGGGCAGGAGTGTCAAGGCCCCCCATGATGCGAGGACAGCCCCCCCCGTCACCCTCCTACACCGCAACAACAGCCCAACGCACAGTCCTCTTGGCCCCCCGTGCCCCGCGGACACAGCAGGTTCCGAGGGGGCTCTAGGTGAGGGCTCCAGGGGACGCCCAAGCAGTGCCCCTACCCGTGGCCGGCCTTCCTGTGCCTGCTGATCTCCTTCTCCCCCTCGATGATCCACTGCAGGATGGTCTGCGTCTTCTCTGCACCCTCCGGCGAGCCAGGCACCTCCGAGGTGGACGCGCCCCGGCTGGCTTCGGCCTTCTTTGCCATTCTCTTGGAGGATGCGCTTGCCTTTCCGCTGTGGACGAGACCTGAGGGTCACACAGAGCCTGCCTGCACCCCCACGCCCAGGGCCAGAGGCAGCTCTGCTCCTGAGCCCGCGACCGGGAGGGGCATCCAGCTGCCTCCACCCCGTCCTGTCCACCATGCGACCCGATGCCAACAGACTGGTCTTCAGTCCTGCTGCTGCCACAACACGCCTCTGGCGGCCTGGGCCAATGCCACGACAGGAAGTGGAGGCCTGAGTGCTATCTGCAGGCTGCAGGACATGGTAGCGAACATGTCGTTCCCCTTGGGCTGAGGCTTCCATGCCAGGTAATGACCCCGAGGCCCCTACTTCTGCTCACTGCATCTTCCTGCTGAAACGCGCATAGCCCCTGCACCGGCCATACGCAGCAGCTGGCCTGAGGACCCCACCCCCCCGGAGCCTCCAGGCTCCCGAGCACCCAGCGATCACACTCCCTCCTTCCATGTGGGCAGTTGCGTACCTGTCACGGTTCACACGTACCTGTCACGGGGAGCACTCACCTAGAGTCCCCAGTGACGCACACCCTCCCCCTCAGGCAGACGCATTTGAAGGCTGGGCTCTGCACTCCGTGGGCTCACCTGTAGCCCAGGCAGTCGGTGACAGTGGGGGCGGCACCCATACTCTCAGGGAAGCCGCGAGGCTTTGTAGTGTAGCCGTGCAGTTCAGGGCTCCATGGGAAGCTGCTCTGGACGCGGCGGGCGGCCTCGGCCTCGATCTGCTCCCTGGGCTTGGTCGTGCTGTGGTGCACGTGGTGGTGGACGTGCCTGTGGTGGTGCAGGCCGGCTGCGTCCAGCTTTGCACCTGTCTTGGCCGCGTGTTTGCCATGCCCGGCTGCTCCGCCCGGTGCTGCAGGCAGCCTGGCCGCATGCCCACTGTCGGGGGAGCGGTGGCCGGGCCCAGGGGACTGGCGGCCAGGAGTGCGCAGGACCCGCTGCACGTGCTCGTCCAGGATGCTCTCGGGGTCCTCCTCATGTGCATCCCGGGGCCCCACACAGCCCGCGTCCGCATAGCGAGGTGGGAAGTGGTGCCAGGCCTGGGCGGGAGGCAGCTTGTGGCCCACCCCCAGGGGGCCAGGGACCGCATCCACGTCTTCACCCTCCTCCTCCTGTGGGGACAGGCCTCCTCCGTCAGATACCTGGCTCAGGGCACGCACAGCACACACAGCGGGCAGACTCACCCCCGACACACACACACACACACACACACACACACAGC